GGGAAGGGGCTAGACAATCTTTCCTGCTCAGCCCTCTTTCAGGAAGTGGCTCGTGCCTGCTTCTCTGGCTGTGAGCCTCAGACTACAGGTCTTTTATACCCTCCATACAGGTCCTTCTAGAAGGTGTTCCCCATCTCCGGTAAAGGCAGGTGCAGCGGGGTATGGATCTGCCAGGGGATCCCAAGTGCATTCCGTTCTGTGAGGCAGGACGTTCACAGAACACAGTGTGTGGGGTGGTCAGCTCTGAGGGCTGCGGGTGCGAGAGGAAGGGTGAGCCACTGAAAACCACTCTTTAGGGACTGAGTCCACGAGACGAGTATCAGAGGTGGAACCAGTCTGCCTCACCTTGGCCTTTCTGCTGGAGTGATGGCAGTCGTGGGTACAGGATTCAGCTGCCCACTGTGTTGATGGGATGCTAGTGTAATCAGCTGCTTCTCACTTCCAAGGTAGAACTGATTTCATCATCAGAACACTCCAATTCCGAGAGCCTGGGTTTCTGAAGAAAGCAACAGGCCTAAGGGCACAAGGCCCGATGACCAAGGCCTAAACGAGGCCCTGAGCCTGTTTCCTCCTTCTGAGCTCTGGGCCCTTCTCAGCAGCCAGCCCCTCTGACCAGGCAGAAGCCCCGGCAGCAGACCCTTAGATGGCCTTAGAGGGCGGTCTTGTTAGAGGTCAGTTGGGTTTGAGTCCAGGCACCACACTGCACTATCGTCTGAGGAAGCGTGTGAGCCTTATTTCCTGTCTGTTTGCAGCAGCCTGGCTGCCCAGAGAGGCCCTGGGGACCCGTCACTGAGGAAAGGCATCCCAGTTTCACCACAAACCTCCTTAAGAGCAGCAGGGAGCACAGCTTTGGTCCCTGACTCCGTCACCAAGTAGGGCCTGGAGCAGCAGCAGAGCTCTGGTGTCTCAGTCCTTGCTCTGCCACTGCTGTGCTGTGTGACCCTGAAAGCCCAGCCACACGGAACCTGTCTCCAGAGGAGACAGAGGCTCTGCCTGGGAATCTGCCCACACCTTCCCTCCACCTCCCTGTGAAAAGACATTTGCTCTTAATCATCCTCATGTGTTTTTCCAAAGAAGGGAGATGGGGTGTGGTATCTCCAGTGGCAGCTGGGCTGAGCTGTTGCCCAAGCAGGAGGCAAACAAGCCTGTGACTCAGGCGGGGCAGGTCACAGCTGGTGGCAGCAGGGGTGCTGACCACCCTGTGGTCTCCTCTCACTCCAGAGCAAACCAAGGGCAGAGACAGCTAGACACCCCAGGTTGGCAGGCCAGAGAGGCGCCCACCTACCATCCCCTCCAAGGTCCTGAGGCTGAGCCCACAAGTGACTAGAACTCGTTTCAAGTCAGTGTATTATACAAATTAGTAGTTTATTTCTTCCTTTAGTATGACAATTCTAAAAGGTAAGCATGGAAGCTGCTGCAGGATGAAAGGAGAGACCCCTGCTAGGATACCCGTGTGTGTGGGTGCACAGTGGCATGCGTGACCCTCCAATCTGCCTCCCCCATAGGGACATCCTGGGCAGGCCCAGCTGCCCGGCCCCCTGCGGGAAGACGACACTGCACAAGCTTAGGACAGGGGCGTAAGCAGGAACATGAACACTTAAGGGTTTAAAAACCAGGCATGATTGCCTAACATGCTAATATGATAGGACATAATGGAGGCCAGGGCCATCTCCAGCTCTTAGTGGTCTTGGCGGCTGCTGTCCAGCTGTCCATGTGGCTGCATGGGGTAGGATGTGGGCTCATGCAGACATGAAAGTCTGTGATGGTCCAGGTGACAGCTGAGAGTTGGCACATGAGTGGAGGGCCACTGCAGGAGTTCTGGTTCACATAAATATACAAGGTCACACACACAAACAAGAACTAGTTATACAAAGTGAATGTACAAAATCTAGGAAAACCTTGATAAAATAGCCTATAAAAATATAAACTGTAGTGAAAATATACAAAGTATTAACAACTGTTCATTTAAAAAACCCCACCCTGCATACTTAGAAGCTGGCAATGGCTACGCTACAAGCTGAGGGTGACGGCCTCATCAATGGGATGGCCGCGAAGCGTGCCGGCCGCCCATGTGGCTCAAGTCTGAAGCGGCAAGGCCCACAGGGCTGAGCTGATGGTTGGCAAAGGTTTGAGGCGGGTGGACAGCAGCCCCTGTTATGAGGGGTGCGCACCACGGGAGCCAGTGGGAACCTGGAATCTCAGGGGCACTGAGCAACTGACCTCCTCAGAAGCAAGGATATAAGTGTTGGCTCAAATTGTGGGCACCAATCCTCCAGCTCTCGGTCACCTGTTACCAAATCAGAACCAGCCAGACGTCTACTCCCCATGTGCTGGGTGCTTGATCTTCAGGGAGAACCCTCCACAAGTGTCCCCAGCTCACCTGTGCAGAAGCCCTTTCTGCTCTCATGGCTGCTTCCTGTCCAATAACCATCTCCTCAGAAATCCTGACACACAGTGGTCACTCAGCGTGGCAGTGACCAGGATCCCCTAACCCCAGGCAGGTCTCTATTCAGATGCTTTTAAGGTGCCATCTTCTCAGGGCGAACTGGACCCATTCCCCAAAGAGCATGCTAACCCTGGACATGGCACTTGGGGCTGCTGTGTTCCAGTGCTAAAATCCACTTGGAGCAAAACCTGAAGGAGGCTGGAGGCATGCGGGAGCCCCAACCGACTTCTGCACATCCTAGCAGTTCTCCCCCTGGACTCAATATGGGGTCTCCATCACCTGGTCGCAGCAGCCCTGGGGCCCGTGAACAGCACTGAGATCAGAGCACCCACTGTGGGGAGCAGCCCCACACATAAGGCACCTTCTTTAAGAAGTCAGATCTCAAAACAGCCACTCCCCTAGACACAGAAAAGTTAGAAAATGTTTGATACCTGGACAGAAACAAAGACCTTTGGCTATATATTTAGACCAGTTCTCTCTACATAACACATAAATCAAGTAACCAAAGACAGAAAAGCTGAGTTTGGTCGAATATGTTCAGATACCAACTTAGCTATCAGGCTGCCAGAGAAGAGTGACAGTTGAAAAAAAAAAAAAAGATCATACTTATCGAAAAATAAGAAAAATTCAAAACAAAACACTTCTTCAAACTATATTCTCAATCTGAGTGTGCTTAATATATCTCAGCTATGGATTATTTCTGATTTTTTTCCAGGTAGTGTAAAGACTTACATTTAAAACGATTTCTCTCAGATTCAAATAATACTGTGCCTGAAAACAGCATCTACACATCAGGTATGGTCCAAAGGGTGATTAAGCAAAAATAACCTTCCTCACCCCAAGCCTCTCTCCAGGGCTTCAAAAAGAGTCCCAGAGCACCCCTGGGCAGTCTGATGGACTGGAGCTCCTGCTAACCCTATAGGCAGAGTCTGGAGAGAGTGAGGATGCTGATGGGTGGCCCATAGGGGAGGGGGAGGAATGGGCCAGAGCTCACTGAGGGAGCCTGGCCACAGGGAAAGGCACTTCTCCAGGCGCCTGCAGCCAGCCTCCTGCCCAGGCCCTCAGGATGCCCAGGAGGAAACAGGATCACTGGGTCTTCAGGAAGCCAAGGTTTCAGGCTGCTCCCTCATTCCTACCAAGCCACCCCAGAAAAGGGCCTCTGACCCCCCCCAGAGGATGAGTGCATGAGCCATGATCTCGCCCACACTTGGAAGATGACTTCTATGTTCAGGTGTGAAGAGGTTTCCACAGATCCTCATGGAGACGTGACCAGACGCGGTGCAGGCTGAGGGCAGAGCAGCCGGCCACCTGCAAATGCTGGCAGGCAGTGAAGGGAGAGTGGTGAGCTTAGAGGGCGAGGTGTCCCCAGACAGGTGGAGAGTCACCTGTGGAAAGTGTGTGCATGAAAGGGCAAAAGCTATTTGGTGGCCGGGGCACAGCTGGCAGCCTGCAACCTCCAGAAGAAGATTCCTGGGTATAATTCTACCTAAGTCATATCTGAAGCAGCGACGTGCTTGCCTTTCTGAGGAAGTGCCTTTTCACACTGACCAGTGTCAGCTGACATCGCCACAGTCCAGCCTCAGAGGTCTGGACACTGTGGACAGCGTACATGGTCCATTACAGAGATATGCTGCCCGACACACCCAGGACAGCAAACACAGGGAGACATGCTCAGCAGAGCAGCTCTTGAAGCATGAAAACCCAGCATGAGTGACAGATGCTGTAAACAAGTTCTTGACAATAACCAACTGGATAGCCTGCCAGTTGGCCAGCTGGTCAGAAATCATGACCACAGTATGTTACCAAAATGCCATAGCATGAGGATGGCTGTAAACAGATTTGCTCCCCACCCCACGTGGAAGATGAGAAAGTGCGGTGTGGCTGGACCTCTGCCCAGCAGATTGTGCAGACCACATGGTACATTCTAGCTTCAGAGGGACAGAGATGTCTTTGCGGTTCACCCTTTTGGCACACTTTGGTTGTGAAGACAAGAGCAGTGTCTTGGTGGGGTGGGGGACACTCAGGTGTCCTCTTCCTCGTCGCTGACCAGCTCGCCCTTGTCGGGGCTGGCGTCCCGCTCACGCAGAAAGTCCTCTCGGATGGCCTCCAGCTCCGTCAGCTCCAGCCGGACCTTCTCCAAGTGGTAGGTGCGCCGGTTCCGGATCTGGCGCAGGGGGAATGGGTTCAGGTCTCCAAAGGAGATGCTGATCAACTTCCTGATGGGAGGCAGGGCAGACACAGCACGTCAGCAGGGCTGTGGTGAGGGCTCACATCAGCCTTCACTTCAGCACAACCCAAAGGCTCAGGAAGGAGGAGAGGGGACAGGGAACCGGGGCCCAGGTCACCATGCACCAACAGGCAACAGGCACAGTGGCCATAGGAAGAGGATTTTTAAGTACCACCAGACTCAGATTTGAGCTCTGTGTGACTTGGGGAAGCCAGGTTATGGAACCTTTCCTGGCCTCAGATTTCTCAGCTGTGCACTGGTTTGCGGGTGACCTACGCTAACAAATGCAAAGAACTCACAAGCAGTGTCTGGCACTTCCTCAGACAGGGAAGCATCAAGGAGTCTGACTTCTCAGGATTTGCACAGACCAAGGACTTCTGGAGCCACCGTCAGGCAACCAACTGACAGGAAAGGAACTGGCACTCAAAGCAATCCTGGCAGTAACTGACCATCACATCAGCAGAATAGCAAGTGTCAAACCACAGACCACAAAAAAAAGAATGAAGTTTGTAGGTTCTCAACCATCCCTAGGTCACTCACCAATTTACAATAATCCTTAGGAAAAAAGTCCTCCTAACTTGCTTCCAACTACTTGTCCATGGCTGAATAAAAGAGAATCTGAAATTATTCCATGCAGTAGATTTCCCACATGAATTGGGTCCACCTCAGTGGTCCCAGAGTGCTCACAGCAGAGACGTGTCCCTCCATCACTTAAGAGTGTTCAGGTTCCCTCCTTGCTCCCACCTCATTTCCACTGGGTCCTAGAGACCTCACTTCCCACCAGCAGAGCCTGTTTATGTTCTTCTAGATATCCTGATGGTCCAATAGACACAAAGCCCAGGAGAGGTCATGTTAAAGATAAATGTTAGGAGAGATTTCCTCCTGGTCTGTTAGAAAACCAGCTGTTTGCTGCTGCAACTATTCTCCACAGGCAGTTGGATAGCTACCCCAAAGGCCATGTCTCCCTGGTGGTCCTAACCTACCAGCTGCTCTGCAGGAGACAGACAGACAGACCAGCTCCTCCTGTGAGATTTCCAGCCTTCCATACCCAGTGGAGGGCTCTTACTTGGCAGAAATGAGATGATGGTAACATCTACTCAAACACTTCTACTGAAAACCTGCCAAAGGTATATACACAATAAACAATACACAGGTCTAATATTTTCCCTTTACTATTCCAAAATACCCAATTCTTTAGATATGTCTTACTCTCAGCTAAAGGATTCTCCTGAAAGGCAGTAAAAGGTCAGGAAGGCTTGCTTAAATGCCCAGCTCCCAGACTGGGTGCTAGAGCTGAGGACAGGAGTGACTGCGAACCAGAAACTCAACTGGGCCTTTCTACCTACAACTGTTAGCCCACAAACTTAAATGCTAAAATGCCCATCCCCTTCTCTGCTATAGGGAATTAAGACTCAAAGTTAAACTCAAATTAAAACAGTATTAGTCATTTATCTATCTGGCCAGTCAATGCTGACTGAGGCTTAGCAGCCCAGGCTGGGGACACAGGAGAAACTGGACACTGCTCGGCCTCAAGCCTGGAAGGTCCAGTTAAGAGATGAGACAACACTTAGCACCTTAAAGGCTCCCAGAAGTGCTGCTGCAAAGAGGCAGGGTTAGTTCCCCTGAACTTAGTGTACCACACACAGACTGCCTTAACTCAAGCAAGGGTAGGGCCAAGCGTCTGCATTATTTTTTGGCTGGTGATAATTTTTTAAAGTTATTTTTGTTGTTGTTAAAAACATAACAGATGGGATAGTAAAATGGTAAAACCACTATGGAAGGCAGATTGGCGCTGCCTCAAAAAGCTGAACATAAAAAATTCCGTATGACCCAGCTATTCCACTGCTTGGAATATACCCCGAGAGAATGAGAACTGAGGCCCAACAGAGATATGTACACCAACGTTAATAGCAGTGTTATTCACCATCCCAAGAACATGGAAACAGTCCAAATATCCAACCACGATTAAATGAATTGCTAAACGACGGTACGTTCACATGATGCAGGAGCAATGATTTCATAAATTACCACCTAACTTGGGAGGAACTGGAGAGCATTATGCTAAGTGAACCTAGTCCCATTAAGGACAAATTGTGATCATTATTGTAGTATGAGGATCCAAGGGAGTAAGGGGGAGCAGAGTGGGGAGGGTAGGGGGATGGATGGACAGGACATTAATCATAGGGCCGCTTAATTTGTTAGGTGGAGGGTGGGGTGGGTAAAGGAAAAGGGAAAGATCTGGTATGAAAAACAATATATACAAACTTTGTAAATAAACCAGTATTTTTAAAAAATGTTACTTGCAACAGAAAAAAAACCCAGCACCATAATAGAACATACACTAAATCAACAATTTCCACATGTGTAGTTCAGTGACACTGATGATTTTCTGTACAACGATTCTCACCCTCCTTTTCTGAACTCCCCCCGCCCCCCGCCCTCCAAAGGTCTCTCTCTCACTGATATCTCTTAATGACATCCCCCTGGACGACACTCCAGCAAGCTTTCAGAGGTGGTAAACTGCACAGAAGGAAACTGTGTATCTCTCCTACACAGAATGGTTGGTGGATCTGATGCCTTTGAGTTGGCAGCACAATTTCTTGGCACTTGGCCACCAGAGCTCCACTTGCTAAGGCACCTGAGAGGCCCTGGAGCAGGGACCTTTACGTTCCAGAGCAAACGGGTGGAGCGCGTGCACCAGAGCTTCTCACAAGGTGGCGCTGTGGGACCATCAAGGCTCCCCGCACCCGCACAGTGGAGCAGTGACAGCAGGCAGCGGACTGGGTGGGCTCCTGCCAGGCCGGTTCACGTGTGTTGTCCTGCAGCACGACTGCCCAGCACACAGCTGCCAGGACCGGGGCAGGGTCAGTGTTTGGAAGCTAAATGCTGCAGCACAGCAATATTTTTTGGCATGAAGAAGTTCATGGAATGTCACATGTAATCCTAACCTCAATGTGAAATTTGTGAACGCTGCCTGGGCTCATCCCAGGGCTCAGACACCCCAGGGCAAATATTATCCTCAGAGAACCTATTAATCATTATCAGTCAGGCTACTGCTGGTGGTGTAGGAAGCCTGAAAATAATAAAAAAACCCACCCTCTGGAAAAAAGATTCCTCAAATGAGTGAGGACTCCTAAGGAACCAGATTTGACTCTGGCCAGCACTTCTGCTCTCGATGTCCACTTCTCCAATGCCTGCGGCCTTGCTCAGTAACAGCACAAGGTGTAGCGTCTCACCGTGGCCACACTTTGCTCCCGAGGCTCTGTTCTGACTGGGGGTCTGCTCCCACCTGCGCCTCACCTCTGTGGCTGGGGAGACAGCGACTGCTGGTCCCTATTCCCTCACAGCCAGGAGTGCTTATCAGGGGCAGCCAGTGGTTTCCAAGTGGATTGTGACCCACTCGTGGATCAGGGAATTAATTTAGTGGCCATGATGAGCATCTTGGATAAATGATAGAGAATTTAGTAAATTATCAGCATGTATTGCATAGACCTTTAGTAAGATTTATACATTTCAACAAATTCTCCAGTTTCAATTATACATACTCTAGGATGTGTGTCCTAGGCCATGGTCAAAGGGTCTGAAAAATAGTAATAAACCTCAAGTATTTCTTATTGAGGGAGGTAGTGATGGTTCAGATCTATTTGTCACAGGGTTGCTATGAGTGGACAGCACCTAATAACAACAAGGCCAGTAGGTATAGGCTATGATCACAGGCTGAGGAGAGAGGGACATGATTCCTGAACACTCAGTTGCCTGGATCACAAACCTGGGAATCCTGAAGCTCCAATTCTTTCTCTAAATTCTCTTCAATCTGCCCCCTCCCTCCATCTTTGGGGCCGCTTCCTCCCTCGTACCCTCCAACGTGTTCTAGTTGGTACATCTCCCAACCTGACACGTCTTCCTCCCACTTCACCCTGCAGAGCCCTCCCAACACTCGGGATAAAGTACAAAGTTGTAGACATGGTCTATAAGTCGCAGGGACAGCCCAGCTCTGCCCAGCCTCAGCCTCAATCAGAGCACTTTCCTCACATCTCCTGTTTCCTCATGTGGTGATGGCCTGGTAGCTCTTCTGTTGTCGTTGTGTGCTGTTGAGTTGGTTTAGACTCATCGTAACCCCATGTGGCAGAGAACTGTCTATAGAACCCCACAGGGCTGTGGTCTCTGAGAGCAGATCACCGGGGCTTTTCCTCACAGAGCTGATGAGTGGGTTCAAAGTGCCAACCTTTCCATTAGGAACCAAGTACTTAACCACCAGAGCTGTGATCTATGTCTACAGTTTTTCCTTTCCTTTCCCTTCCTTCCCTTCTCTCTCTCTCTCCTTTCCTCCCTCTCTCTGGCTCTCACATCTCTGGACCACTCTGGACACTCAGTGCATCCTCTGCCCATGAGCCCCTCTCCTGGCTGCTCCTTCCAGCTCTCTGGTGACCGAGTCTGTCGCCAGCCCATCATGGCCTATGCTTTCTCCAAGACAGTACCGATCCAAGAAATTTAAAAAAAATGTTGCTTCTGGTTATTGGGACTGTTGTTTGTTATATAAAGGACAAAACCATTGTTTGTTTCTGTTCCCCTCTCATCTCTGGCAGCCCCATTCCCACTCCTGTGCTCACACGCTCCTCACTCCTTTTCTGCTCTGTGTCACACGCAGCACGCTCAGGACGGCTCTGGGGAAGCAGAGGTCGAGGACGACAGAAGGACAGGCTTGTGCTGGGAAGGCAGAGGCCAGGGATGTAGGCAAGGACAGGTCCATGCTTGGGTAGGCAGAGGCCGGACGACAGAAGGACAGGCCCATGCCCAAGGAGGCAGAGGTTGTGGACAAGGGAAGGACAGGCCCGTGCCCAGGAAGGCAGAGGTCAGGGACGCTGACAAGGACAGGCCCAAGCCAGGGGAGGCAGAGGCCAGGGACATAGGCAAGCACAAGCCCATGCCAGGGGAGGCAGAGGTCATGGCTGCTGCTCTCTCTGGCCAGAGAACCATCCCCAGAACTCACCGAGCATCCAGGATAGTGCGGGTGAAGGAACGGAGATACTTGAAGATGGACATCGAGTCTTGTAATTTTAGGATTTCCTCTTCTTTGTATTTAAAAAGTGCCAGGGCAAAACGGAAAATAACCTGAGGAATGGACAGGACAATCTGTCAGCAGGGGAAGTGTCATGACCCCAGGATAGCTGGGACTGGGGTCATGGATGTGTGTGTGGCTGTCCCCTTAGCCTTAGCTGGCAAGGCCCTCCCTGGGGCAAGAGGTTGGTCTGAGAGAAAACTCCTACAAGCTGGGAAAAGACAATTTTTATACAGCAAAAAAAGGAATTCTTTAGGTATTTTCTGACAACACTGTTTGTTGCTAGGGTTGAAGCATTTCTGTACAGAGTGGACAAGGGCAAAAGATCAGAATTTTTCATTCACTCAGAAGCTTTCACTCCTGAGAAAGCTCCAGAGGCGATCTGCAGCTCAGCTAACAGAGCCTGACTAGTGACTTGAATACACTGAAAGAGAATTTGGTTTTCACATACTTGTTTTGGGGTGCTGTGCTGGAAGTTAGAGGAAACGGGCTCCTGGTGGTTTTGCAAGTTTCACAGCTTTGTCCACATCCAAAGGGCTTGGGTGCCTGCACCCAACTGCAGGTTCCTTCACAGGGTTCAACAAAAGAAGTCACCCTTCTTTTACCATATGCCTGGTGGCCAGCACTTCCTTCAAGGACAGGATGCACTTGCCCACATGGACGAGACAAAGCTATTGCGACTGTCACTGCAGTAGTATGAAATGATGAGGGACAGGACACAACCCACGGTGCCCACGACCATGGTACCATTACACAGGTTTCTGGCTTTTCACCCTGTGTCCGACTTCACTGTGACACTGTGATAACCCCCATGGGTTTATGTGGGTAGACACTCCACCACCAACGCGCCCACAATTATCAAGTGTGTGTACCTGAAAACTGCTCAGTGTGGAGGCAAACCCACCTTTGGTCCCTCGTAAAGGAAAGAGTCCCATATTTTAAAGAGGATGTCACTGACGACACTATCCACAAACACCACCAGGAACCAGTTGAACGTGATGAGGGTGTAGTCAACTTTATACTGCTCAAAGTGGGTGTGCAGCCGAGGCAGCTTCTCACTCATGAGGTCTCTAAACACGCGCTGGTCCACCTGGAGAGAGAACAGAAGTGACTGTCTGTGGGCTCCCCACCAGACAGCACACACTGAGCACCTGCAGGCAGGAGGTCCAGGTGTAACCTGGGGAGAGAGCTGTTCTCCACATGATCTGCTCCCAAAGCAGCTGACCCAGCCCATGATGGCGCACACCAAGCACCCACCATATGTACTAGAGCAACCACGGCGGCCCTCGCTGCCATGGGGCACAGAGAGGTGAGTGAGGTGGGGTGGGAGATTGGGATGTCCACAGCCTGAAGCCAACTCTTAGACTCAAAATGTCTGCGAACAGATCATTGCAAAGGGTTGGCAGAACAGTTATGCTGATACTAAGGGCGATAAACCTGAGTCCTGGGCAGATAGGTCTTCAGTTAAAGAGAAAGTCATTATTTACTGGCCTGCATGCAGCAGTGAGATGATGGGCAGTGCAAGTTATTTATACTCAAATACTAACCTAGAGGCTGAAGGTCCAAACCTGCCCAGCAGCACCATGGAAGAAAGGGCTGGCAATCTCCTTCCACAAGGATGACAGCCAGGAAAGCCCTATGGAGCAGTTCTATTCCATAACACCTGGGGGCGTCATGAGTCACAATGAACACAATGCAAAGTGACACATTTTATTTTTTTAAAAATTTAAGGCAGTGAAGGTAGCAGAGTCTGAGTCTCAGCTTTACACTTGCTAGCTGGGTGGCCTTGAACAAATTATGTTCTTAAAGCTCTGTGTATTGGCTAGAAGAGAGCTGATAGTATCTACCTTACAAAGCTGCTGTGAGGATCAAATGAGACTTTTATAAACCACCATGCACAGGACAGACAGGCAACAGGTGGTTATTATCGCTCTGTCAGGCATGGGGCCATGCTGGGCAGAGGGCTGAAGAAGATATGGATCAAAGACGAGTGCTGGGCCAGACAGAGGGCTTACTGCACTAACTGTGGTCAGGGCTCAGGTAGAGGTATATGCACAAGTGCCATGGGACCCAGAGTGGGCCCGGCCAGGACCAGAGGAACGGTGCTCATGGCGGGAGGGTGGGGTTCCAGGCAGGAGGCTTTGAGGTGAGATGGCACAGCCTGGCATGAGCTAGTACATAGGGCCCAGTACTTCACCAAGGTGTCCAGACATCACCCTACAGGCCAGGGCGGTCACTCCTCCTACCACCCACACACAAAAACTATTTTCAACAATCACCCATTCAGCACCTTATCAGTGTGTATATATACACAAAACAGAAAGAAACAAAACAATATTTAACTTTACAAGGTAGGCTGCACTTTGAAGCTTTCAGTTCAAATCTAACCCATTTCATTTGAAGAATAAAGGTGGTTCTGATCCCCCCAGGCTGAGCCCTGGTACAGAAGAACAGTGGCAATGAGAGCATGGGAGGCGCTAGGCGAGGGAGGTAGCTGGATGTGTGCTTGAAGCCGCTCTGTGGCTGCCCCAGGGAGGCTTAGCTGGTGGGGAGCTGGCTAGAGAGAGGGTGCAGCCTGCCGAGGGGTCGAGAACAAGTGGGATCAGGAGTATTTTGGAGAAAAAATCTGAAAAACTTGAAAGTTCCTTTTGGGGATGGTTGGAAGTCAAGAAAACGAGATGTTCAGTATCCCCAGGCTTCTGACTACAAGGCACAGAGAGGGCAGAGACTTGGACCCGTGAGTTTAGATCAGTACTGGGGGCTGGACTAAGGGAGACTGGGACATGCTGGCGTCTGAGGGGTATCTCCACTAGGCTTATCACAACCTCAAAAGATAGGGGCTGGGGGTCCATGGGAGCCTTGGGTGAGAAGAGAGGTTATGACTGGTGGTTGTCAACACTTGAAGAAGAATGAGATCACTGAGGGAAGCAAGTATGGGATGCACAGTGGCTGAAGCCATAGACCCATGGAATAAAGACAAAGATGAGGAACAGCCAGTTCCCTGTAAAGTATGGAAAGACTTCAAGCTTATTAGGAAGCCAGGAAGCATCATATAAACCAAGTTTCTTGTACACTGCTAATGCGAGTATAAGCTGACGCTACAATCATTTTGGAGTGTAATTTGGTGATAGTCAATAACATATGAAGACATTCATCTCTCACAGCAAAAGCATTTCTAAGAACACAGCTCAGAAAAACCTCCAAAATTTCCAAGTGTGTACCAGTCAATTCAGGACAAATGGTGAGGTAATAATGGGGATTACTAGACTATTAAAATAACTAGAAAGACAAATACTAAATAATTTAATAGAGAAAAATATTTGGGGGAAGATAACTTAAAACATTTTTTTAAAAAAATCTGTCCCCCTGTTGAAAGTTTTGTTTGTCTTGGTAAAGAAGCTTTGACAATTAAAAATGTAAACAAAACAAAAGTTATGGTTAAATAGTCTCAAGTAAGCATTACTAGTTGAAAGTTAACTTACAATTTAAAATGCAAAATAACTTCCAACAGGGACACAGAATTGCCCTATTGCCTCCCTATAAAATGAAAAGTGAACAAAATATTAAAAGGCTCTTCAAAAGCTGGAAGAAGCCCCCTCCTGTGCTTCAGACAAACCTAACCTGGAAGCTCTCCCCGGTCATCCTCTGGAAGGCTGCCCCTCTCTTTGTTGTTCTCCTCTCTGAGGGTGGAGCCAGCATCACTCACTAGTAACAGCCTTTCTTATCTACTTGTATCACTCCATTCCTCAACATTTCATTCACACATCTGCCACCTTCAAGCCTGGCTAGTGCTGGGAAAATAGCAGGAGAGATGGATGGACCAACTGACTCATTCAGACTGGAGGATCAGGGCTGAAGTCACCTGGGAAGAAGGGAAGCACAAGCTGCATTTGAAGTGGGAGGTGCATATACACGTCTTCATTGGATCAGGAGGCTGATTGCCTCGTTCTTGAGGCAGCTGAGGGGCCCGGCAGGGACTGGCTGTCAGGGAACTGAAAAGCTTGGCCTGAGACTCCTTCCCCATCCTTGGTGCTGAGCAAGGTCCTGGCACCCAATATGCACTGAAATGATGAAATTAGTGGGGAATGGGTGGGCCTCTGGACTGCAGCAAGGGTCTCAGGGCTTGGCACTTGGCTCAATAGTGTCTGTCCAGTGCTGAGGGCTGACTGCACACACTAAGCTATCTCCATGATCAAATTAGGTTTTACAAAGTGTCTACTGTTAGGAGAACAATGAAATAAAGTATGTACAAAAAAATGAGGACTTCCAAATTATGCCAATTAAGAAGTCTGTGATGACACAGGAAAATGCTCACGCTCTAACGTGAACCAGCCAGGCTCAGCATACTCTCAATTTAAAGATTAGTATGTGTGAGAGGCTGGGCTTTTTGAGGAGGACTGAGGCATCAGGATTGGAGGCACACTCATCAACAACCTATGTTATGCAGATGATACAACCTTGCTTGCTGAAACTGAAGAGGACCTGAAGCGCTTCCTGTGGAAGGTCAAAGACTGTAGTCTTCCGCATGGACTGAAGATCAAAATCAAGAAAACAAAACATCTCACCACTGGGCCAACAGGCAGCACCATGATAGATGGAGAAGAGATTGAGGTTGTTAACAATTACAGCTTGCTCAGTTCCACAATCAACACCGGCAGTCAGGAAATAAAAAAATGAATTGCACTGAGAAAATCTGCTGTCAGGGACCTTTCCAGAGTATTGAGAAGCAATGATATCAGTCTAGAAACTAAGGTGCACCTGATCCAGGCCATGGTCTTTTCAATTACTTGCTATGCATCAGAGAGCTGGACAATGACTAAAGATGACAGAAGAATTGATGTCTTTGAGTTGTGGTGCTGGAGAAGAGTCTTGAACATACCACAGACCACCAAGAAAACAAGTAAGTTTGACCTGGAGAAAGTGAAACCAGGTTTCTTCTTGGAGGCTAGGACTTTGAAGCTCTTGTCTCATATGCGTTGGGCATGTGGCCAGGAGGAATCAGTCCTTGAAGGACATTATACTTAGAAGGGTGGAGGGATAGCATAGGAGGAAAACTCTGGATGAGATTGATTGATACAGTAACTAGAGAAATGGAGATAGGTGCGTCGGAGTCAGTGAGACTGGCTCAGGACAGGGCTGCTGTGTACAGGATCGCTATGAGCTGCAGGAGACTTGACAGCACATAACAAGAACAACAATGCGCAGGACAAAAAGAAAGTAAGGGAATACATACAAATGTGCCTCTCTGTTTGGCAGGATGACAGGTACTCTTCATTTTCTTCTTTCTGTATTGCCTAATTCTTTTCAGCAAATGTTCACTACTTTCATAATTATCAAAAGTTTCCTTAGAATTTACAATCTTGTTTTTAAGGCAAATGATGCAAATATTATACCTGAAATGGGCCTTTCTTTTTTTACTTAAATGACAATATAAATAATAACTATTATTGAATTTTTACAACATTCTAGGTATTAGGTTACTATCTTATGCATCATCTGAATTCAAGTTCAAACAATCTATATCAGGAAGATACTATCTCATCTATGGGGAAACTGAAGCAGAGGCTACTAAGTGATGGGTCCAAGTTCCACAGCACACAGAGGAGAGGACTGACCTCCTGCCTGGCCCGTGCTCCCACCCGATGTGTTCCACCTCAGTTCAAGGGAATTAAGAAAGCAATGTTTCTCCTTTCTTATTCTGAATTATTGTCACTTGGGATTTTAAATGTGAATACTCAAAGCTATTAGCTTTCTACTGTCTATGAATACATAATAATTTCTTTACTGAGCTCTTTAATCCCACCCCACTGTAACTCCTGCCTCTTCCCACTGCTGTTTATCTCTTTACACACTACTGTAACAGAAAACCAGACCTGTAGGCTAGTAACTAAAGTGAAATTGTCCTATGGAGCCCAGATGAGCCTTCTCCTGGGATGAGTCAGCATCTCTAAGGCTGGGACAGGGGACTGGAGGCAGTGACTGTGAGGACAGCTGTCCCCAAGAAGGCCATAGCTCAGTACCATCTCACCATCCTCCTGTGACATTCTGAGAGGCAGCAGGCAGTGTGGGGTGCCCCAGAGGCTGGGTCCAAGGTCTAGCCAAGCACCTTTGGTCAGTACTTAGTGTTCTTTGACCTAGTTTTCAGCAGTAAGATGGAAATAATGATCCTTACACCTTGCAGAGGGAGCCCAAGTGGTGGTAGTGCATAACATATCAAGCTGCTAACTGAAAGGTTAGTGGTTTGAATCCACCAGCTACTCCAAGAGAGAAAGATGAGTAGCTTCTTCCCATAAAGTTTACAGCCTCAGTAGCCTGATGTAGGGTTACTGTGGTGGGGACTGACTTGGCAGCCCTAGGCTGGGATGCCTTGTAGAGCTTCATGAAGCGTGAAGCTGCTGGCACAGGGATGGTATCCACTAAATGCAAGCTTTCCCTAGAGAGAGTCTGCAAAAGCTCAGATGTCCACTATGCTGGTGCAAGGGTCTGCTGACCAACCTAAGGACAAGCCAGCAATAATAACAGCAGCATGCTAACTGCTGTGCAGAAGCCTGAGCTGGCCGCTGGAAACAGAAGCCAGACTCTGCAGTCTGGCCCTGGGCAGAGGGGAAAGGCATCACAGAGTTAACACTGAGCACGAGCTTTCTGGGGAAACAAGCAGGGGAAGATACTTTAAGTAGAGGGAGAGCATCCACAAAGCACACATAGCCTAGGGCATGACCAAAGAGCAGGGGATTCTAATCCAGGCAATGAAACTGTGTGCCAAGAAGCTATGTGGTCCCCAGTGGACAGGTGACACCAAGATGTGTAAACACAGCCTCAGTGGCCATGCCTGGACTTTATCGTGAAGGCTCTGATAACTCCCTCAGACTCCAGAAGGGGATGGCATGATTGCATCTGAGAATGAGAGGGAACGTGGGTTCATGAAGGCAGAAAGGAAGGTAAAGAGGCAACTATATTGGTGTAGGAGAAAGACAATGGCGACTTGATAGAGGTGGAGGGTCAAAGGGCATATAAAGGAGAGCCTCCAGGAGGTAATAGTGACTGGCATGTGATTCTGGGTAAGATAGGAAAGAAATGAAGAAGCGACTCAGATTATGGTTCTGAGCAACTGAGGTGGGTAGTGGAGATGGTTACAGGGGAGCAATGATTCTTCCGCAAAGCTGCAAATGCGAACAAAGAATCAGGAGAACAGAAACCACTCTGAATACACAACAGAGGGGATTGTACTCACAGAGCTGTTAATAGTGATTGCAGAGAAAACTAAGGCCAAACAGCTGATGGGAAGGAAGCCCAGAGGAGCAATGGCAAGAGTCACTGGCTTCCTCAGGCTGGAGGAACAAGGGGAAGAAGGGAGGGGACTGCTGGCATGGAGAGTCCACCAGCTGGGAGCTGAAGTCACGATGGCGGGAGGGAGAGACACCTCCACCTCCCACTCCAATTCAGGAACAGGGAAACGGCCTGCGGGCCAGCCCTGTGACCCAGCACAGAGCAGCATGGACTGTGAGCAGGCACAGGTGTGGCACAGACTTGGAAAAGGGGCTACCACACAGCAGGTACCGACACAGGCCCAGCGAGTGAGCAGGGTGGCCAGACAGGAAGTAGAGAAAGGGACAGATGGGGACCCCTGCTGGCAGCAGCCTCAGCTCAGCCTGGGGAAGGGGTGCCCTGGACCACTAGGACAAGAGGCTTAGTTCAGGGCTGTCCTCACATTGGAGACAAAACTCTGGGTTCTCTCAGTTCACATTATCCTACTGCCTCCTAACATCGAACTCCAGGAACAGTGATCATGGAACGCATGGCTCAGAACTCCTGCCCAGTGGCCCCTGGGCCCATTATCCCATGGGCTCAGAAGCCAAGAATGTACACAGCAGGATCACAGATGTGGGTCCCTTCCTGTGGAGTTCCAGTGCCTTCAATGAAGGTGATCTTTACTTAAGGACTTCCCACTGTCTTGTACAAATGTTCTTAGAACTGCATGTTCTGAGAGGAGGCCCACGTCTCCTCTTGTCCACTCCTTCCTTCCGCTGGCTTAGAGATTCCTGTCCTTCTCTGCTTCCGTCTTCCCCTTTCCCAGATAACACCTTGCAAATCTCTTGCTTGAATGATCTCATCTGCTTCTGGGAAAACCTGAACTATTATGCCTGTCTCCCAGAGTATCCCTGGATTCCAGTTTAGCTTAGATCTGTGCCCAGGAGGAGTATGCTAAGCAAAGACTAGAATTAGCAGTTTCTCTGTGTGATTTAACAATCAACTGACCATCTCCAAGTAGCCCCATCCACAGCCTCAGGGCTACACCTGGTCTTGCTGAGCTTTGTCCTGGACCCCTTGATACATCCCCCCACAAAGGTTCAGTCCAAGTTACCCTGCAAATGTAACTCTACAAGGTGATGGCTGAAGCACAGTGTTTTTAGAAGTACCTGAGATCCTAAAAGGGTCTTTGTATAATAGTCTCGAGGCATGAAAACTTCCACTATGGTAACAAGACACCAGAAAGCATCTTCTTGTTCCAGGTACAGGAGGGCCACTGCCACCAATCTACAAGCAAACAGAGAAGGTGAAGGTGAGAGCCAGCACACCCAACCTGCATCCAGGAAACAGAGTGCACTGCCAGTCTTCTCAGAGACACCTGTGTAACGTCATTTCCTCTCTCCTGGCCAGAGTGGTTTCCAGTTCTCTGGTAAACAAGTAGAAAGTGTTCCCTGACAAGTGAGCTATGTTCTAAAGCTCAAGAAGCAAAGCTTTCACACTGCTTCCCAATGCTAAAACAAATGCATTAAAAAAAAGGTCTGTTTTCATTATAAAATTTTTGCTAATGCAGCTAATTTCCATGAGTTATTGCTCAATAGAGTTTCAACTATTCCTTTTATGGACAAGTAATCCAGGAGCAAATGTGATGGAAGTGGCAAAGATCACAAGCTTAACAACAGCTTTCCCGGGGTCCAGCTTCCGCTCAGGAGAAACTGTGACTGGCCTTCTGGAAGGAACGAACACACAGTGTACACATGAGGTGGAAGAGGAGACTATGGGTCGACTGTCGCTGGTTCATAATGAACTTGTGGGTCCAATTATTTACATGCTGTTACTGATCAAGAAATAGTTTATTCAGTAATCTCAGGGATCCCAGGCATGGCCCTGAGCAGGCATTCAGGACAGAGATGGTCAGCAAGAGGTCTGAGAGAAGCTGAAACCCTAGAACACCTGTTTGTGGCATAAAACGTGGGCGCCTTACTCACAGACAAAAAAATCCTAAAGCTCTTTTTTGGGATTCCCCCCCACACACACACTTTTTCTAAAAAAAAAAAAAAATAGTATGTGATGAATTCACCACAAATTAAGAATGAGAGAGGAAGCAGAGAAACAAAAAAAAAGTAAAAAAAGACTTGGGGTAGGTGGAAAGAGGCTGCTCTGAGTGGGCCCAGAAAGAAGAGTGAGCAGCAAGGTGACAACTGGCAGAGATGGGAGAGAAAACCAGGAAACAAGAGCACAGGCACCACATTCCACAGACCCAGCAAAGGGACAAGGAGCTCCAAACCGGCAGGGCTAAAAAAACAAAACAAACAAACAAACAAAAAACCGGCAGGGCTTTGGGGGATATAATTCTAAACTGATGCTCAAGAGGATCGGTGTGAATTATCTTTAAAAGGCTAGAGTTCTGCCACTAACATTCTGGGTACTTTTGTAGGCAAGGCCATGCATAAAATATACTAAGGGGGGAAAATCCAATGAAACGATTAATATTTAAAAGCTTTAAAGTTGATGGGGTTGGAGAGATGGGTGGACAGAGAGCTGCTCTGGGAAATTTACCTATTCTGGATCCCATGGCAATACCAGATTACAAAGCACACCACTTTTCTTAGGGTCCCCAAAAAAGTGTGCTTGAGTCTCACTGGGATCACTTAGGCTTGAGGGGTTGTCCGCTGCCAGGAACTTTCAAATGGAGCCTGCCATGTGATTTGTGGATTTAAGCCAAACAAGGCAGCTTTGCCGGGAAGTATCCCAGTTACAATCCAGGCCATTTGCCCCAGGATTAGCTGATGTCCCTTTTACCTTCTATGGGGCACATGCCCTCTCTTCACCACTATTTGGTTTCACGTTTTAACTCAGTGACATTCCAGCTTAAAAACCGTTCCTTCTGCAATACTTTTAAGTTCAGATGCAAACAGACATCTCTTATCTAGAGGTTAGTAACTGGCAGAATCAGTCTTAAAAAGGCCCATGAACATCCAGAGTACATGCCAGCATTCCAAACCCCAGCTCATGTACTTCACTCACGGGGGAGCTCCAAGTACACGCACAGGTCCTCTTCGTTCTTACTTTATTCATACCCAGAGTGGTTTCCTAGTTTCATTACACAGAATAGGACAGAAAAGGACAATTACAACAACAGCAGAAAGTGTATCAGGCAGGTATGAATCAGACAGGTTGTAAGGAGCAGGCATGAGCAGGCAGGAAGCCCAGCTGTCCTGGGAGCAGCTTCAGAGACACCTCAGTACCTCCTGAGGTTCGTCCACTGTGAGCCTGTGTCTTTAAGAAAAGGTCAGAGGCTCTTCAGTTACCTCTGTTTTGCAGGGAAGTATTTAAGAACTTTGAAAGGTTATAGTGAGAAAGAAAACAAGTTTAGGCTTTTCCAGGCTGACTAATTGCTTAGGGGGTGAGGGAACCCTTGTTTAAACAAGGAGTATCCACTTAGTGCATTATAAAATAAATGGAATCAAACCTCTAATCAAAACCAAAGTATGATGCCAAACAGCCAGGAAGAAAGAGAGAGAGAGGGGGGCGGGGAAAAAGGGGGAAACCAATTAGCTTCAAGAGAATATTACTTTGGAGTTCTTAACTCCAAAAGTATGGAGTATTGCCAAAAGTATGTCTGGTTCTCCTAATTATTTCAGAGTTGAGGATATGCATAATTACACCAGTTTGCTATACAAGTTCTTTCCCTTAAATGATTGGTTTTTCTTGGCTTGCTAGTAGGGACAGGCGGCTAAGACAATGCCTGGCACCTTGATGTTCTCCTGATGGGATCTTAATGGCAAAGGGCGCTCTGTGGACTGGACACTCACCTGTTTAAACCCTGGCAGTAGCCAATGTCAGGATTCCGCCAGGAGAAGGCCAGGAGGACATTGCGTAACTTCTGTATGCCTTCTGAGGTGGGGCAGGAGTAATGTTTGTTGTTGGGCAGCGTCCGCAGCAAGTCCAGCTCAATCTGCTTGGAGGCTGGGTTCTGCTTCTCCAGTGCCTTCTGAAGCAACGTCTGGAAGTAGCCAGGCTCAGTGCTGTCCTTGAACTTCCTCGTGTGTAGGTCCACACACCATTTCCACACCTTGGAGCGATGCTCGTGGGGAATACCTGCCCGGATCAGGTTTTTCAGTTCTGGAGAGCACATCATCTCCCTGTTCATGGTGCTCGCAAAGTAGTTCTCCCACTTGACCCCTGTGGAGATGTCCTGGTTTTCTGTGAGGTAGAGAGTCTTCAGGTCCAGCGCACGGACTTTGGCTACCAGCTTCTCTTCCTCATCGTCCTCAGGGACAGTCCTAAATCCATAGATATCATATTCACTGTTGAGAAAATCAAAATGAAAAGTCAAAATGATGGCATCTTAGCAAAAAAGACCAATGACAGAGAATAAAGAACCTAGAAATAAGCCTGTTATGTACAGTATTTTTTTTTAAATTTTTATTGTATTATTTTTACGTGTACTGTCAAATATGTACAGTATTTTAACAGGCAATTTAAATTAGCAATGAAAAGTGAACTTCTCAATCATATAATTGGGATTACTGGCTTTCCATATTAAAGATATTGAATTAAATTCTTATTGATAGCATATAGAAAAATCAGTTCCATAAAGATTAAAATTCCAAATGTGAAAAGTACAAATGAAAATACAGACAAGACTACAAAACAAGATTGATGTATTTGGCTACATTAAGACATGCATATGTATATTTAAACATCATATTCAAGCATATGTATAGTTTCTAAGCTTCAAAAGACACTGAAAAAAATCCAAAGACCAACCTCAAGAACAATTAAAAAGATATTTTTGGTTATATATATTGTTTTTTTTCTATTTTTTTAAAATTTAAATTTATTAGTAATTTCAGTAAAAATTTTATTAGTAATTTCAGTAAAAATTTACAGAGACTTTGGATTTCCATTCATTCATTGTTGCACTTTTCTCCCCTCCCAACCCTCCCCCCAGTACACTAACCTCTTGGAAAAGTAAAAGAAAAATTCTTTCATTGTTTTACAAACCCTCCCCCAGGTCCACTCCACCATGTAGCCTTTGCTCTAGACCCCTGTCATGACAAATTTGGTTATATATATTGTTCTTATATGCCATTCAGTTGCCTGCAACTCATAGTGGTCCTAGACACAATAGCTCTGAAACCTGTCCTTTCCTGAGCTAGTCTGTCTCTGACACACCTACTCCCTTTACCTCAGTTACTGACTGTTGTCAATCCACCTCCTTCAGGGTCTTTCTCTCTTGCACTATCTTTCTGCCCTTCCAAATATGATGTCTTTCTCCAAGAACTTGTCCCTCCTGGCAACATGTCCAAAGTATGTGAGATGGAGCTTCAAAATCCTTGTCTCCAAGGAGCAACTTGGTTTCACCCTCTCCAGGACAAATCTGTTTTCTTTGCAGTGTACAGAATGTTCAATATTCTTCTGTAGCACCACAACTCCAAGACATCGATCCTTCTTCTGTCAAGTTTAGTCATTGTCCAACTCTGTCTCTCTTTCCCCCTCCTTTATTTTATACGTGTTTACTTACAAAGTTTGTATACTTTTCCTCCCACAATCAGATCCTTGCCATTTCTTTACCCACCCCTCCCCAGTCATATTCCAACTCTCTGAAACATAGAAGTAATTGCAAAGGCCTGGATCAGGCATGCCTAGTCTCTAGACTCTTTCTGTGCATTCCCAAGTTCATTTGAGGGGCAGGAATAACTATGACTTTGATTCTTTATTCAGTGAGGTATGGACCTAAGTGTTTTTTCACTTAAAAAGAAAATTTACTTCCCTACTTAGGGGCTCATTTTGCTTTCAAACCACAAAGTGTGTCTCAGAAGATAATTTCCACTCCTTGGAGGCTTGGCTCCTCTTGCTGCAGGACCAGAAGGAAGACCACCTTGCATGGTATATGGGAAAAGGGTTTAGAATCAAAAGACCTGAACTGAGTTTTAGTTCTCCTATGCATGTATTACTGGAAAGATGAGGATAAAATCTGGGCTGCTGATAGGATAGGGGTGATGAGCAAGAACTGTGTCAAGATCTCTGTGAACGGCCATTACTTATGAACTGGGGGAATGGGACCACTGCGTGGCTGCACCAGCAGCAGTCACCAGCACCTTACCTGACAAGATGAGGTTTAACAAACGCTTGCTCTGGATGCTCCGGGCTCTCAACCTGCAGTGCGTCCTCCAGCAACTGAGCGATGACCTCCCGGGCAGGTCCTTGTTCTTCCGAGCAAACTGGTGTCTTCACTTCTTGAAGCAATATCAAGTATTTACTTTCTATTTGGCAGAGTTTGGCTTCTAGGCTAGAATACTGCAGAGAACGCAGTGGTTACCGCCACTCAGACAGAGAAAAAGCAATCCTTAGGACCTCAAGCACTCTATGAGTGACAAGCCTTGAAGTATTATTAGGAAATGAGAGTCAGCTCTTATCCAAGCTAAGGGGTTTATTTATGCCAGTACCATTTATCATCTTTAGCAGGCCATCTTCCTTAGATGGGCCTGGCACAGAAGGATGCTGACAATGTCTCTGGAGGTCACACTCACATCAGCTCTGAGCAAGGGGATGAGCAGCAGAAACCAGGCTGCACGCCAATTACTGAGGTCAGGCTGACTGCCACAGTGGCACGTGAGCCATCAGTGGCCACCCCATGAGATACTGAGTTACCCAGGAGTGACCCAGGGAAAGCTCCCATCTGTCACTTTATACCACAATTAAATGTGCCCCTAGAAAATATGCTGGAACAGTTTTAGAAGGTGCTTTCAGGACTGTTAAAACAGGTATATAACAGATGTTGGACAGTCATTATAACTAATGTTTGTGGTCTCTTTATATTTTGCAAAGCCCTTCCCATCAATCTATCTGCCTCTCTCACCAATTCTATCCAGTTCACAGAAGAGGCATCATCCTCACCAACCTCATTTTATAGCTTAAATAATTATTCACATCCAACAGCTCATATCCAAACCCAAATCACCTAAATGGGAAGGGCGGTCTCAGAATGAAACCAGGTTTTTGTTTTTTCTTCAAGCAAACATCACTGTAAACACGTATGTGCAAATGAAAGTTACATCCCAGGACTTTATCTTGATCTTAGGAAATGAACCAAAGTATGCAATTTACATATTGCATGTCCTTTGAAATATATTTTGACACCATGTCCCTCCAAGCATGGGATTCTCAGTGGTTTAAAGCATGCCCATTTTAGAATGGCTTCCTAATCACCCCCAGCAGTTAGAAGAACAGATCCAACTTGACCCACCTTTGCCATCAGATCCCTTTCTCTCCTTTCTGCATTTCTTCGCAGAGCTGAGAGTTCCAAAATCTCCTTATTTAAAAATTTGTTCTGAGTTTTGTATCCCTGCAGATTATCCTGTTTAGGGGAAAAAGTAATTCATTCATTGGTACAATGTTGACTATTACATACACTTAACACTTGGCTGCCTTCCCCATTAGAGTTCTATGATACTCAACAATGCTGCTGGGTACTTCTAACACAGGTGGCGCCCTTGGCAGGTCGCTGGCCCAGTGCTGTAGTGAAGGGGATGGGGAAACTTTTTTCTCTTATGGTGGCTGATCTGAGTCAAAGGAAGGAACTCTTCCTCATTAGAAGACTTGGCAAAGTTTACTCCTCTACATTCAAATAAGGGTGTGCTGTTGCATAGTCCATAGACAGTGGCACGCCGAACCCAACGGCAGCACCTTTCCTGTGGTTCAAATCCACCAGCAGCTCCCAGGGAGAAAGATCACACCTCCTTTTGTGTGATTTACAGCCTCTTGAAAACAAGCTGGAGGATCAGCTATGAGTTAGTTCCGACTAGATGGCAAAAAAACCCCAACAAAAACAAATACTCCAAAAGAATATTCAAGGGGGGGTAAATTAAAGCAACACACTCAGCCTTCTCAATGAAATAAGCGCAACACATTTTCCAGATATTATCATTTTTACTTATCTAATTTATGTAGAAAAGACTCCCCATATAATAAAAGCCCTTAAAAAACTCATAATATTTAAAAAAACTAAAAAATACCCACTTAATAGTTAACTTTTATACTATATAAAGTGTTTAGAGAACATTTTTACTAACTTTTTAACACTAAAATTTATAAACATGAATTAGTAAAAAAGTACAATGAACACAATATACTTTTCACCTAAATTCAATAGTTAAATTTGCAATGTTTGCTTTATCTCCTCCTGGAACATAGCAAACTGGGGACTGGCTCTGCCAAATTCAACTTGAAGTGCTGGTCTGGCAAACACAGAAGCCATGTGTTAGTTGCAGCCCTTAGGACTCTGAGCAAAAAATCCCCAAAGAAACGAAAACCAAACAATGAAATGAGAGTACTGAAAACGAGAATGCTTTCATGTGAAAATGAAGTTCAAGGAACTTCTTTAGACCAAGCTAATAATAAACAATTCAAATGCCTTGCCATCCGGTGGGAAACAATTCACAGAGGACCTTCCATTGGGTTTCTGAATCTGTAAGTCACACTTCTCGTGGAGGAGACTGTCCATTTTTCTCCTGTGGATTTGAGCCACTAGAGAGGTATAAAGCATGACCTTTGGATTAGTATCACAGTGCTATGCTATCACAACGCTAATCACAGACAAGACTGCTAGAGCTTAACAACAATGACAATAATAGCAAGAATTTTCAAAGTGAATTGAAGAAGCATCTAAATATATTTCTGAGAACCACCTCTGAGGCCAGTTGTTGCTGATTTGTACTGCTGTGTCAGAACCAACCTACGGCTTTCAGCAAGCTTTCAGAGGCTGTAAATCACACAGGAGGAGAGTGCCTTATCATTCTTATGTGAAGGGGCTGATGGATCCAAACCATGTGCTATTCCAGTGGCAGTGCAAATGAGGCCAATTTCCAATTTGAACAGCAATTTCTAAATGTTCTATACTAGAAAGCATTATTAAATGTCTTTCCACGAAACTCAAACTCCCTGCCACTGGGTGGTTGCAACTCCTAGTGAGCCTCCATCAAGTTTCCAAGGCTGCACATCATTAACAGGAAGGAGACTGCCTGCCTTTCTCCAGAGGAGCAGCTGGTGAGCTTGCATCGATGGGGACTCACAGTGTTCAGGTTAACAACTAAGGACCTGCTGAGAACCGTGCCACCAGTCGACTCATAGCTGGCCCTCCAGTGGGTATTCAACGACAGTAAACGGCACAGGAGGAGATTGCCCATTTTTCTCCCTCACAGCAGTTAGTGAACCCGAACCTCATGATCTTGGGTTGGCAGCACTGCTTCTTACCATGAAGCCACTAGAACTCCCTACAGCTCCCATGAGTCTTTATTAAATGTGCACTTCTTCTTTCTGACAATTTACAACCTGACAGGCTGGTGATGCCTGGGTACCATCTCTAAGGAAATTCTGAGCTCACATCACAGAAGACACTGCCTCACGACAGCTCCCTGGGCAGCATGATCTTCAGGAAAGGCACCACCTGCTTGTGCTGTAACAGGAAGGAAGCCACTGCCATTCCACCAGAGACAAGTGGGGAGACGCTGCCCCATCTCCAAATAAGAAAGTGCCGTGAGAACTTCCTTCATAAAATACTCCTGAGCTGACAATGTTTATATGGTTTCTAAGATTTATTGAGCACTTGCTATGGGCTACAAGGGGCCCACTGATGGGCACTTTAACTCATTTACACATTTATTGCTGTTAATTTTCACACCATTATTATCACTATTTCCTCAGTGAAGAAACTGCCTAATTACACAAATGCAGGCCTAATGCACATCCAAAAACTTCTCCAACAGGGTAAAAAGGGAAGCCACAGACTGGGAAAAAGTGTTTGGTAATGACATGTCAGATAAGGGACTTATATCTAGAATTTATAAAAATTTATTAAAATACTTGAGCACCACAAGATAAAGGTAAATAATCCAATTGAAAAATGGGCACAGGATATGAACAGACACTTCACCAAAGAGGACATTCAGATGGCCAACAAGCACATGAAGAAATGTTCAAAATCCCTAGCTCTAAGAGAGATGCAAATCAAAACAACTATGAGATATCATCTCACCCCAGTCAGAATAGCAAAATTTAACAGAACAGCAAGCAACAAATGCTGGTGAGGTTGTGGAGAAACTGGAACCCTTATTCACTGTTGGTGGGAATGCAAAATGGTGCAACCACTGTGGAAGGCTGTATGGCGCTTTCTCAAAAAGTTGCAAATAGAGATACCATTTGACCCAGCAATTCCACTACTGGGAATATATCCCAACGAGACCATAACTGACATCCAAGCAGATATATGCACACCCATGTTTATCGCAGCTTTGTTCACAATAGCAAGGAGTTGGAAACAACCCAGGTGCCCATCAACAAACGAATGGGTAGAGAAGCTGTGGTATATTCACACAATGGAATACTATGCTGCATTGAAAAACAAGGAACTCATTCAATATTATTCAAAATGGGTGAGCCTGGAGGACATTATGCTGAGTGAAATACCTCCGTTGCAAAAGGACAAATATTGCATGGTGCCACTGCTGTAAAATGGGACTGATATTAGGGTGGGGGTAAGACTGAGAAAAACTGGATAAATTGTGTATGCTGCACTGAAACAGATGAGGAACTGAATTATTTAAAAGCGATGTATGATAGGGTATTATGGTTATCACAAGAGTCCACAATTCAGGTTGCATAGTGGAATGTACTTGGGGTGGCGGGAGGGGTGCGGGGGGATTGTGTACCAGGGAGGGAGTCTTTCTTTTACTTTTGAAAGAGAGGAGCGAACTGGGGGGCAGGGAGAGAAGTGCAGCAATGAATGAATGGAAATCCAAATTCTCTGTAAATGTTCCTCAAAATTATAAAAAAAAAAAATTAAAAAAAAAAGCGAGGCCTAGGAACTGGGCTCTTCTGTGCACTCACCTCCAAATGGCCACGTGAGCTCTGACATGGGTCACAGCCACGAGGCCTTGGCAAGGCCACATCACCACCAGCATGCAAGACCGCTAATGCCAACACAGTGGGGCCACTGCTCTTCCTTTCAAACTTCAATCGTGACATTTCCCTTTTTCCTGGCACCTTAAAGCACTCATACTGGGAAGCCATGAGCAAGCACATTACTAAAACACAGGCCAGCCAAAGGAAAGTGAGTTAGAGGGCAGCTGAAGAACACAGAAGGAACGAGGACAGAGGTGGTCACACAACTGAGGAACATCCTGACACAACAAAGGACAGACTGGGCAGCACAGGGCTGGGCAGTGAAAACAGCTGTATTATGATATTTCTGTTTCTAACTTAAAAAAGAATTCTGACAATTCATCATTAAGACACGTAAGCTGAGTCCTGACGACTTAGCTTCAGGATGTCTTCCTTGCATGATTATGCTCAAAGCCACAGTGACACCTGAGGGTCCGAGCCTGTGAGGTGCCAGGTACTGTGTGAGGCTTTGTTAGGACTAACTCCTTCAATTCTTACACCACCTTGGACAGAAATTCTGGTTCACAGAGGGATACGTCAAGGCACAGAGCAATGAAGTGACATGTTCCAGGTCAAAGCTCACAAATGGTGGTCATGCTTGCGCACAGCCCTGTCTCCTTCCAGAGCCCACGCTCAGTAAACTACCCTGTACTCTTCTACGCTCCCTTCCTTCCCACTATTCACCACAGTTGTAATTCTCCTATTATCTAGTGCTCTCTAAACTAAACTACAGGGAGCTCTGCTGGCCCAGAAGCTGCACTGAAATCCCAAAGGCACGTGGTTCAAGGCCACCAGCTGCTTTAAGGGGCAATCTCCTCCCATGTGATTAACTGCCTTTGAAAACCTGCCGGAGGGTCAGCTATGGGTCGGTTCCGCCTCTGTGGTACACAAGAACAACAAACTAAACTACAGGCAGCTCTGGTGATGTGGTCCATAAGAGTATTGTGCTGTTACCCAAAGACTTCAAACCCACCAGCTACTCCACAGAATGACACGTGGTCTTGTCTAGTTCTGATTTACAGCATTGGCTCTTATGGCCTAGTTCATAATGCACTGCATTGCTAACTCAAAGGCCACACATATCTGGTTGCTCAAATGCACCAGCTTCTCTTAGGGGAAAGGTGTGCCATCTCCTCCCACTAGGTTTTACATCCTCAGAAACCCAAACAGAGGCTCATCATAAGTTGGAACGGACTTGAGAAAGTGAGTGCGAGTTTTGAGTAAACTCAATGGAGGCCTACTCTGAATCAGATCCGACTCAGTAGGAGTGAGTGTGACGTGGAACTAAGCCGTGAGCCCCAAGACGACTGGGGCTTCTCTCCTCTGCACTGCCTCCCTTGCAGAGCACAGGGTACACAGGGTCATCATGCATGGATACTTGCTGAATGAATGGATCAAACTTTCCCAGAAAAGAAGACTGAATGTACAAATTTATGGGTGAAAGAGCACAACTTAGGAAAGAAGACAAAAACTGAGTAAATAATGACACAATCTAAGAGGATCAATTTTGAAAATCATTAGTTCAGGAAACACAACACACAAAACTGCTTACACTATCAGTCTCAATAAAACGAAACCGAAGTTCATCTATGCCAAGAATAGAGGGATTATATATCCACAACAAAAGGCTGGAAAGAAAAACAGATAAAGTATTTAAATTGTTAGGGTGGTAAAATCCTCGGACCAATATCTGTTCATTTCAGAAAAGTACAGAAATAAGAAAACCGACCATGTTTTAGACCACAAAGGAAATGTTAGCAAATTCCATGAGGCACAAGTCTTTATAGGCCACATTCACTGGAAAGAAAGCAAGAAATCTGAATAGTAACACCAGCAATAAAAGAGGAGAGTGCAAAATAAACATGTACCCATTGCCAAAGACATTTCTGAAATGTGGATCACAAGGAAAATAAAACAACTCTTCTACTAACAAACCACACATCATAATGTCCATTCTGTCCAGGCTTACCCTGGCTCTCTCTCAAGCCGTTAAATCCTTCCACCACCAACGCAGAACAGCACAGGTTAGAGGGAGGGTCTTCAACATCACAGAGGGGATGCCTCCTGGCACAGGCAATTAACAAGCTCCACACAGAGCAGTGTCAGAAAATACAGGGTCACTGAACAAGGTAGGATCTTCTTTTTTTAAGTTACTTCAAAGAAAGTATTTTCAGATAAAACCCATGCTGCTGAAGCAGAGGGAGTGGACTGGGGCGTGTGGTGAGGTAGGACCTTCTTATCCCACCTAGAATTCACAAGACACAAGCCACCAAGTAACCATTCTCTAACTGCCATTATGTAGCCTGGCTGACTAGGGCACAATTTTGGAGCCAAAGGCTTTGGAAATTAACATGAGAAATGCTGGAAGAGAAAAAAAAAAATTACATGACTGATTCAAAACCACTCCACCCATCCTGCTACCAAAAAAGACTAAGAGGGAGGAAATCTACTTCTGAACAACCCCATTAAGTGTCTCCAGGAGTTCGGCAGAGCTGCAGCAATGTGGCACTTTTTTTACACATACCCCGGCTCTGTTCCAAATGAAACCTGGTCACATGCATGCTTCCTCTGCCAAGCAGTGCTCAAATGCTGGTAAAAATACAAATTTCAGCTGGACCCTGTAAGTAGCCACAAACTGTGATGAGCTGTGTATATTCAGCATTCTAAGGGGGAGTCTGGTCGTGTAAACTGTCAGGAGTTTTGCTGCTCACCCAAATGCTATGTCTCTCTGCATTTCAAATACACCAGCTGCTCTTCCAGGAGAAATATGTGCAATCTCTTTCCATTTCATTTACAGCCCCTAAAAACTGAGCTGGTTCCAACTTAGTGACAATGAGAGGAGAGGATATTTTAATGTTCTAGGTTTCATATGTAAACAAGACTGACCATTATGGGCAATCCTAAGTCGGTTCTCACTTTTTAAAAAGACACTGACTGTTTTTAGAAAGAATTAATTTTAAATCAAAATTAAAAAAATAAATTAGTGATAGGATATTTTTTGGGGGAGGAACTTGGTGCTTTTAGATTTTTTTCATCATAAACCCTTGAGACCTCACAAATCTAATACTGCCATCACTTAGAAGTCACTATGGGAGAGCAGACACATAGTCAACAAAGTGCTTCCCAATTTCCATTGTGGATTCTCTTCCTGACCTATCATGCAAATCACTGATGGCCATGAAGTTAGTGTTCACCAGCGCCCTCATGCAGTACATCTTCATCCTTCAGAGATAAACTGTACTGGGAGAAAATAAACATCCCCAGAGTAAAATGATTTGCAAGAGGGTAGCCAGGTGAGAAAGATTCAGCTAGTGGAGCCTGTAGCTACAGACCTTTCTGAGTCACATACTTGTCCTAGTTCCCCATGTTGTAGAGGACACCTCTCACCTGAAACCTCTTCCCACAGAATCTCAAGAATGGTCACGGCCTTCCCTTAGGCCTCACTGGCCTTCAGCCCTCCCCTCTGGCCCAACAGCTTTCTCTAGCAGCAAAAAGAGCCAGGCTGCCCCTGCCTCCCTCCCATAAAACCCATGTGCTATCTCATCAGCTGCTTACCATCCCAGGGATGATTTAGAGTCACCTCTGTTTAGAGGCCATCCCTCCAACCCCAGGGCCAGCTCAGAATAGGGCAATGGGAGAATGCTGCCTCGTTTCTGAAAATGTTAGAACTCCCCCTGATCAGGTGGTGGACACTGACTCTGAGCAGTCCCTCCAGGAGTGAAGCTGCTTGGAAGCCGGTGTTCACACCTCAAGCAACTCTGCCGTAGCTCCCTCTCCTGGCACCTAGGGGATTCTGAGGAAGGCTGTGTAAATAGCTTCGGTGTGCATGTTTGGGCACCAAAAAGACAAAGAGACTCTACACAAGTGAGAGGTTAAGCTCTATGGTTGGTATATATAGGACAAAAAAGCTGAGCTGCCTGAAAGCAAAGGAGAAATATTTTCAACATTCCAAACAACAGCAAATTTCATTTTCCAAGAAAGTCTGTTAGTAGAGTAATAATGTGACACTAAGTCCTATTAAACCTGCAGGGAGAAGAGGGCACAGCTGCTCTGCCATCATGCTCAATCAGCTCATGAAGCCAACATAATATCACTAAAGGGACATCAGTGGAGTGCACGGGGTTTGGCTTTATGGAATAACCAGTACCCATTCTTTGCTCTTACTTTCAGCCTGTCCAGCTCCAGCTGGTCTCGGCTGGCCGGGGCAGCCAAGGGTGAGCTGGGCACCATGGTTGGGGAAGACACGTTGACTTCACACTCGCTGAGCTGTCTTGAGAGCTTGATGATGACCTCGTCCTTGGCCTGGATCGTCTCCATCAGCATCCCCAGCTGCTCGTTGAGCTCACCCACTTTGGTCTTGAGCGTCCTCACTTCCTGCTGGAAACTCTCCTTTTCTAGGTTGAATTTTTCAAGCTGGCCAGTGAGGCCCAGAATCTGGTCATCCTTTTGGTGTAGAAGTTCCAGCGTGTCCTGTGGGACCCCCTCACAGAGTCGGCTGCTCGTGAAATACTTGTCATACTGGGAAGACCGGACCGTCTGCTGGAGCAGCCGCACGAGCTCCTGGGAGCCAGAGGGAGCAGGGAGTGAAAAGGCAAGGAGAGCAAGGGAGAGGAGGCAGAGCAGAAGTCAGGACAACTCGGCATGGAGCAATCACTGGTATCTGAGGAAATGCAGAAACATTTTAATACTGAACTTCCTCTTGAAGAATCTCCACAATAGAGGAAAAAGAAATATTTTCTCCATAAAGACTTTCTGAAGAGAATAATAATAGGAAACAGGAACTTATGAGCATGCACACTGAAATTAACAATGGTTCCTGGTGAGCCTTCCTCAGTTACAGCAATCTGGGCTCTATCAGTCCCTGAACTACTACTGAGCAATTAAGTGTAATGAGATCTGATTAGCTCAGAAGGAAATTGGGTTGTTAAACACGATGTGGAAATTTTTTCTTGGCAAGTGTTAAAGAGTTCCAGGCTGAAGGGATGTTGATTGTGCCAGTCTTGGGGCAGGGCTAGGCCTGGACACGGACAACACCCTCCTCATACCCCCTCTACTGGGTTTCCTCTCCTTGAATTAGGGATCTATGAAAACAGATAAAGCAGAGGGGTAGTGGCTAAGAGGATTCCATGGCAAAATGAACTTTTAAGAGAAAAACATCAGGGAAACAAAATTGCCCTCAAAAGACTCCGAGACACAAAAGCTTGGCCTTCCTTCCAGCCTTGATAATGTGAGATAAGACAGAAGTCAAAAGAAAAAAAGTTACCTTCTGACTAGACAGGTCCTTCTTGAGCCGCTCCAGCTCCTCCTGCTGGTTCTGAACCTGAAGCTGCATCTCTGAGGCCGGCTTGCTAACATTGCCACCACCAAATGACAGCCCCTCGGGTGAAGGGTCCCCGCTGCTGTGACGATGTTTGTATGACCCAATCATGTCTTTCAAAGGGCGCTTTCCTTTGTAGGGAATACGTCCAAAATCAAAGGGGAATCCTGAGCCAGTCAGTCCTATGAAAAAAAAAACCTGTTTTTTAAGTACAGATCAAATCTTCCTTTTGGCAATGGCAACAGCACAGTCAACATTCTCACGTGTCTGCCTCCTTGGAGCCTGGCATCTATCACCCGGAGGGCCGGGGAAGCACAGAAGCCTCTGTGCCCCGCCTCGGGCCTGACAATAACTAACACACCCACAATCAAAGATGGTCCGCCCCCCACCCTACATGTGCCAGATCCTCCTTAAGAGAAACTGTCATGTGATCACTCAGAGAGAAAGTTGCATTGTATTACTCAATCTTTGCTTTAAGACATGAAAAAAAGGCATGCTGTGGACTGGCACTAATGACAGTGTGACAAAACTCTCCTCTCAAGGCTTGTTTTGAATACTTGGCTTAGTCCCCAAAGCTCTTTTCAAGCGCTCAGTGCTGTACCCGTGTGCTCACATCACCTTTTCGTATTTCAAGCGCTTTCTGGATTGAAGAAAATAGAGAAGTGGGTTGGGGGGGGGGAACATCATTGCCCAAGCTCCCCAGGTTCTCACAGACTTACAAAGTTAAATGTTCATTTTCCAAGCACAGGACTGAAAGGACATACTATGAATCTTTGCTTCCTACTTTTCCTAACTTACTAGCAAAATTTTCTGAAGAATAAAAATGTATGGCTTTTTAATCTCAAATGTTCTAAAGAATGAATTTAGAAAATAGGTTTTAAAAAATATTGCAGAAATAAACATTAATGCTCTCTCACTGCCATCAAGAACAGAAGGACTCCACTCATTTCTCTCCTGTGGAGCAGCTGGTGGCTTCGAACTGTCAGTGACTCCTAGAGTCCGCGTTAGTAGCACACACACCACCGGACTGACCTAATTTTAGTGCACATGGATTCAAATATTTGCTCAAAATACAATGAAGGGGCACAAAAGAAACAGACTGTAAGATATTGCTTGTATAAAATTAGTAAACAGGCAACAGTGAACTGATGTTGCTAGGTGTTGGGATGGTGCCAGCTCCCAGAGTGGAAAGTGACTGGAGGGGAGCTGAGGGTCTGGGCTGGCTCTGGAGGAGATAGAACTGCCCTGCTTTTTTGAGTGCTGGTTTATAGGGGTCAAATTTTGTCATGAAAATTTGTCAAACTATACTTTTCTGATTTGGGCATTTTTCTGTATTTTATACTTCAAGAAGAAGTTTATGTAAAAATAGGAAAAATTTTTAAAAATAGGGAAAAATACTGGGAAGAGGAGTTTACTTCCTGTAAATGACATGGGGCAGTTAACTTTCTGTAAATTACATGGACAAACCAGAGGGCTGATTCTTAGAGGCATGATAGAATATTCCCAGGAATGAGGCACAATCAGACTCCATCAGCATCTTGTTCTCTCTGAGGCTTTCACAAAATCTCCTTCTCAAGGCAGATCCAGGTTAGGCTGAGACACTCTGCAGGGGTGCTGGGAGCTCCCCACGCCCTCCACTTTCTTCCCTCAGAAACACTGCTGCATTCACTCCTTACATTTCATTCCCAGACTTCCTATACAAGTGATAGCCAACACGGATCCTCTTCAGTAATCCAATTTCCTCCACCTGTAGGAGGCACGCCCACTTTACAGAGCCGTGCTCTGTGTTATGAGGCATATGCAGCTGACCACATTTCACACAGGCCACGCTGGACCAGTGGGCACTCACCACCACGCTCTGTGGGACAGAGGCATTCTCCCTCTCAAATCAGTATCAGTCCTTCCCCAAGGGGACAGAAAAAACAATTTTTAATATGGACTTCCTCTCTCAATTAAAAGGCTTTCTAAATTGTTTCCCACTTTCCCCAGCCAAAGACAGAATCAGGTATAATGCAGAATGTCAAATTCATTTGTTATTTATGTTTAAAATATTAATTATCTCTATAATAAATTAACGGATCTTGGATCTATTGCCAAGGAAGTGCAGGACACTGAAGGGCAGGGAGGCTGTGCCAGGAAAACTTTTGCTACACAGCATACAGATTCCTCACTAGGATTTGGAACCACAAGGCTGGCTGCAATCTAAATTATATACTTAAAATCAAGGGCGGACTCAATTAAAAGCATCTATAGAAACCAGGGCTGAAATCATGTCCTATAATGAAAAACATCAGATAAAAAGGCTGCAGGAACTCTGCAGGCTATGCTGTGACAGGAAGTGCACAGAAGCCCCAAACACTACTCTTGCCATACTTGGAAGTCAACCCCGAACATGGGCAGGGGTCTGGACCCGGCTACGAGTGTACAGGGAGTATCTTGGGCAAAGCAGCACGTCAAATGACACTGCAGAAAAACAATTAGCAAAATCCAAAATGGTGACTATTTGTTGGCACAGAAAGACCTTGTTTCTTCAACAAATATGACTCCCCCCAAAGTAAAGGGAGGAAAGCGGAGGGAGAAAGTTGTTTAGACTAACAGAGCCCAAGAAGATAGAGCAACTAAATATAAGAAATTAATTTTGTTTTGAGCCTTATTAAACAAATCAACTGTAAACAGACATTTACTTGGAGCATGGATAGTGTTATAAAAGTATTATCACTTTTTAAGTGGTATAATGAAGTATGGTTAAGAATATATTTTTAAGTCATTATCTCTTAAAGATAGATACTGAAGTATTTATAGACAAAATAGATGGATGCCTACAATGTACTATAAAATAAATCATCCAGCTGACAGTGGGTGTAGGGAGTAATGGGGAATGTAGAGGAGACACGAGAAGCAGCAGGGCCGTATGATTAAAATTGCGGGAGCAGGATGATGTCTGCACCAGATTTCATTATACTACATTGTCCACTTTTGTGTACATGTCAATATTTTCATAATAAAACTTTTTATACATCAGTACTCCCATAAAGACATGATGTCTGAGTGCTTAGACACTGGGAAGTACTTAAGAACCATCTGTCCTGGACAATTACCATATTTTTCAAGTGTTTACTCCCACAAAGAGAAGCAAAACCCCAATGAAACTTATACCTGGTCCTAGAACATCTGTGACCACACAGTAGCTCACAGAGAGCAGCAGAAAGAACGAGACACGGGAGGAAGCATGCTTATACCTTTGTTCCCTTCGGGCGCCTGCTTCTTCCTCTCTTCCTGCACCATGGAGTCCTCCAGGTCCTTAGGGCTTGGGTCCAAAAGCTCCCAATCATCACTAGTATAAAATCTACTCTTCCGACTATCATTATGCCCACGTCCTGGGCGAAAAGATGACATTGAATTTCTATTGAGATAAAAAGAGAAATGTGCTATTGAAAAGGGGAAAGACAAGTAAAACGAAACCTAATTGCACATGTACCTCAACTTACTCAGGACTGATCAGAACAAAAAGATTGGTAATACCAAATGTTGGTGAGGATACTGAGAAATAGGACTCTTTAAACACCATTAACAGAGTAAGCTGGTATCATTACCATTGAGAGAAATAAAATAAAATTAAATTGGAGAGATGTCTACCTAAGACACAGCACTTCTAAAGAATTTCTTGTACACTAGAAGACAGGAGCAAGAACACTCATTGCAGCACTGTTTATTTTAGCATTAAAAAAAAATACAATCTAAACTTAAATCAACAGAATGAATAAATGTTCACGCAGTCACATATTACTTAGTCCATAAAACTCATTCATTCTTTCATCAAACATGTATTGAGTGCCTGCTATGTATTCAGGGAACTCTGATGGCTTAGTGGTAAAGAAGTTGTGCTGTAATCCCAAAGGCACACAGTTTGAATCCACCAGCTGCTCCATAGGAGAAAGATGGGCCATTTCCTCCCATGTGATTTACTGACTCTAAAAACCCACTGGAGGGCCAGTCAGCTATGAGTCAGTTTGGATTCCACGACACATATCAACAACTATGTGTTCAATCAAAGAAATCAAAAGAAATGCTGCACTGGTGAAAACTGCTGTCAGGAACTTCTCTAAAGGGCTAAAAAGCAAATAGACAGTCCAAAGACTAACGTGCCCCTGATCCTAAACATAGCATTTTAAATTGCTTCCTCTGCATCTGCAAGCTGGACAATAAATAAGGATGACAGAACAAGAATCACTCCCTGTGAAGTATGGTGCTGGTGAAAATTACTGACTATACTGAGGACTGTTAAAATAACAAACAAATGCGTCTTGGAGGAAGTGCAACCAGGGTGCTCCTTACAGGACGGTTAAACTTTGTCTCACATACCTTGGGCATGTTACCAGGAGGGGCCTGTAAAAAGATACCATACCGAGAAAAGTGGAGGATAATCCTCCATGAGCTGGACTGATACAGTGACTAACAACGGCATGGTGGAGACCATGAGGATGGTGCAGGACAGAGCAAGGTTCTTCTGCTGTTCACAGTGCTCTTATGGGCTGCAGTGGACTCTCCAGCACCTAACAACAATACTACTGTGCACCAGAGGAGCTCCGGTAGGACAGTGGGTGAAGTGTGGGCTACCAACCAAAAGGTTAGCAGTTCAAACCTACCAACAGCTCTGTGGGAGAAAGATGAGGCAGTCTATTCGTATAAAGACATGCAGCCTTGGAAGCCCTAAGGAGTAGTTTCACTCTGCCCTTCAGGGTCAATATGAGTCTGATTTGACTCGACGGCAAGGAGTTTGGCTTTTTGGTTTATGTGGGTACTTGGGATACACCAGTGAACAAGAGCAAGATTCTTGTTTTTATGGCATTGCTTTAACTCTCCCTATTCTGGACACGGATCCATAATGTAAGTATGGTGGTACATTGGTTAAGCACTCAGTTGTCTCCTACTGCTTCACACCATTTTTTTAAATGTGGTTTTCCCTTTATTTAATTTTTAAAAATGTTTCCTTTAAATTGTTTTCATTGTTGCATATTTTCTTTCTCCCTCCCTACCCTCCTAGCCTTCCATGCAATAAAAACCTTGTTCCATACTGGTGTTATACATATAATGCCTAATTGGAACATATTCCTTTCGGACAGTTCTTCCCCTCATCTGTTCTAATGCATTATCTATCCATTCTTCTTATTCTCTTCCCAACCCGCCCCCATCTGTCCTATTTTATAACAGTGCTGTTACTCAGTATTTGTCCTTCTGTGAGTGAGATAGTTCACTCAGCATGAAGTCCTCCAGGCTCCCCCATGTTGTGTAATGTTTTATGAGTTCACTGTTTTTCAGTGCTGTGTAATATTGCATTGAGTGAATGTACCATAGTTTTTCTATTTGTCTACTGATGGGCACTTGGTTGATTCCATCTCTTTGCTACTGTAACACAGCAATAAACATGGGTGTGCATACATCTGTTTGAGTCGCAGCTTTGGTTTCTTTAGGGTATATTCCCAGTAGTGAAATTGCTGGGTCAAATGGTATTTCTATTTCCAACTTTTGAGAAAGCACCAGACCGCCTTCCATAGTGGTTGAACCATTTTACATTCCCACCAGCAATGAATAAGAGTGGAAACAGCCCAGATATCCAAGCACAACAAAAAGGATTGAGGAATTATGGTACATTCACATGACAGAATACTATGCAGCACACAGGAGCAATGATTTTATAAATTAATACTTAACTTGGGAGGGACTGGAAAGCATTATGCTGAGTGAACTAACTCAGTCCCATAAGGACAAATAATGTATAAAACCATTATTGTAGCATGAGTATGAAGATCCAAGGGGAGAGGAGGGTGGAAGCAGATGGATGAGGATGGTAGGAGGTTAATCATAGGGTTGCACAATTTGATGATGGGGGTATGTATGAAGGAAATGGGAAAGATCTGGTGTGAAAAACAGTGTATTAGAATTCTGTAAATAAACCAGTATAAAATAAATAAATTTTTAAAAAAAGAGTTCCAATCTCTTCATAATCTCGCCAGCATTTATTGTTTGCTTCTCTGCTGAACTTTGCTATTATGGCTGGGGTGAGATGCTATCTCGTAGCTGTTTTGATTTGCATCTCTCTGATAGCTAGGGATTTTGAACATTTCATGTGCTTGGTTGCCATCTGAACGCCTTCTTTGGTGGTGTCTATTCATATCCTGTGCCCATTTTGTGACTGTTTACTTTTCTCTTGTTGAGGTCCTCGAGTGTTCTATAGATTTTGGATATAAGTCCTTTATCAGATATTTTATTACCAAATGTTTTCCGCCAGTCTGTGGGTTTCCTTCCTACCCTGTTGGAGAAGTTTTTGAAGTGCATATGGATTTGATTCTTAGACAGTCCCACTCTTTTATTTTCTCCTAGTTGTAGGTTTTTCATTATGTTTGGAAGACTGTTCATCCTGTGAATTAGTAAAGGCTTCTAGAGTTCTTCCTAGCTTTTCTCTGATCCATTTTATAGCCTTTGTTTTATTTCTAGGTCCCTGATCCACCTTGAGCCGTTTTTCATGTATGGTGTGAGATGTGGATCTTGGTTAAGTTTTCTGCAGATGGTTTTACAACTTTGCCAACACCATTTGTTAAAGAAACTGCTCTTTCCTCACTTAACTGATTTTGACTCCTTGTCAAAGATCAGTTGATCATAGGTAGATGAGCTGATTTCTGGGTTCTCAATTTCATTCCACTGATCTATGTGTCTGTCGCTGTACCAGTACCACACTATCTTGATCACCACGGTTGTGTAGTAGGATTTGAAATCAGCGAATGTGATGCCTAGAAGGTTTCCTGGCCATGGCCGTGGTGTGAACAGAGGGAAGCCAGGTAGATAGAGCCAGTGACTGTGAGTTGAGCAGACAGAGCTGGGGTCCCCAAGGCAGAAAGAGTTTATAGGAAAAAGTCCTGGAGAGGAGAGAGATATGCAGAAAAGGAGCCGCAGGAATCCTTGGAGACCATCAAGTCTTCAGGTGAGAACTGATCAGGGTTCTCGTGAACGGAAGCTATTTCAGAGCGAGAGAAAGCCACGTGGAAAAGTGGAGGGAACCCTCCCTGAAGCTCACACCGGCCTGGGAAAAGTGCCTCTCCCAATCAGTGAGAGTATAAACCCTCATCATTTTTGGGGCACTGGACAGAGTAAACAGAAGGGTTACTGAAACTATCCTGAGACTAATAGCCATTCTCATTCCAAGCTTCAAAAGGATCAAACTGTTTCCAAGTAATTTCACCACATTTCAGAACAAAGCTCAAGAATAAAATTTTTTTACAGAAGTCAGTAAAAAAATCACAACCCCAAAACTAAAAATACCAAACTCTGGCATCTAATAAAAAGTTAACAAACATGGAAGGATGTATGAAGAAACAACCCTCATAATGAGGAGAAAAACCAGCCAACAGAAACAGATTAAAAAGTGACACATGGTAAAATCAGTACACACGTACTATAAAAGTTACCATAACTGTATTCTCCATTAGTAAGAAGCTTAAAGGAAGACAGATAAGTGAGAGGTAAAAAGCAAAAACAAAAAGACCCAACCTAAACGTCCAGAGATGAAACTACAATGCAGAAGAGAGGTTAAGATAACAGCGGATGGAATAAAAAGCAGTTTAGATATTGCAGAAGATTAGTAAGTAACTCGATGATGCCAAGACAAAAATAATGCAAAATTAAAGAAAAGAAGGAAGGACAGAGTAAAGGAGAGCTGGATGAACAGGCTTTTTAGTGAGCCAGGGACAAGTTCAAATGGTCTAATACACATGTAATTGTAGGCCCTGAAGAAGAGAAAGGACAGGAAAACTAGATGGAAAATAATGAACAAAAAATGTCGACATGTGATGAAAATCATAAACGTACAGATCCAAAAACCTCAATAAGTTTCCAACTCAATAATCACAAAGATAACTACACCAAACTGTCGTAAACCAATTATTTTTAAAACAGTTTAAAAAAGAAATCCAATTTGCAAAATAAAGATAGCAAAATGCTTCTATTTAAACTGCAATAGCAACATACACAACAATACAAGTTGTTCATCTGATCAGAGCCAGGACAGAGCAGATACTCCTAGGGAGTACATGGCAGGAGACAGCAAAGAACGCGTAAGTTTCATGGTGAGGAATCAAAATTTCTTCTTCCACCAGTGGACTGGCACATCTCCTGACTGGCTCTGCCCCATTCACTGCTCTCAACTAGCAGCCCTGGGCCCATCCTGGATGGCATCTTTGCAAGCAGAACTGCACTGGGGACAACACCCACGTGGAGTGGACCCAGGCCAGGACAGCTGCCATCCTTCACTGCCTCTCAGTCTCTTGCTCTCAGGCAGGCTTTCTATTACTACTCAGCCCACCTGTGGTCTCAGCTGCCTCAAGTGTTACTGCAGCCCAAGTGTCAGTT